CCCCCAAATCTCAGGCTGTCTTGTGTACGGCCTGGCCGGCGGCCTAGGAAATCAGCTCAGGACGTCTATCCCCCTCTGTGTGCTGTGCGGGCTTGTGTTTAGGGGGGCAGAGTCGGCACAGTTGGGGGGAGGCCTGAGCTGGCAGGATGTTTGGTCTTTTCTCCAGCAGCAGCAGCTTCTGCCTCCTCCACACACAAAGTTCTGCTTGGCTTAGTTTCTGCAATAAAACTTAGTTCTGTTCATACCATCCACAGGAGCATATTGTACAGTGGTTGATTTTACACAGTGGTTGGGCTCTTGGGATCTTATCAAAGGGACCCTTTGGATTCTGCTGAAATCTGCATGCGAAACCTTGCTTTGCTTCTGAACTGCGGAGGCAGTAATCATATAGAATTATTAGGCATATAGGGGGACAAAGCCTGCTGAGAGATAATCAGCATGACTTCTGCAAAGCAAAGTCCTGCCTCACCAACCTTCTGGAGTTCTTTGAGAAAGTGAACCAAGCATGTAGACAACAGTGACCCAGCAGACCTTCTATACCTGGACTTTCAAAAGGCTTTTGACACGGTACCTCACCAAAGACTTGGCAGTCATGGATAAGAGGAGGACTGGTTACATGAAAAGAAGCAAAGAGTAGGAATCAGTGGACAGTTCTCACAGTGGAAGGAAGTGGGGTCCCACAAGGATCGGTTTTGGGACCGATACTATTTAATTTATTCATCAGTGTTCTAGAACGAAGGGCAAGTAGTGTAGTGGCCAAGTTTGCAGATGACACAAAATTATTAAAGTTAAAAGTGGTTGTGTCAGTCTTTTTGGGCAACTCCCTATTTATAGAAATGTTGAGCTCTTAAATAACATTACGGTCACTCACTGTTCCCAAGCGGTGCAATCACTTTTACATCTCTCACCAGGTCTTGGGCGTTAAGTTAGGACCAAATCCAGGATCACCTCTCCCCTGGTAGGTTCCGTGACCATCTGCTCCATAGTCACCCTCTCAGTGGTCAGGCCTAATCCACTTCCCTCTAGAACAATGACAGCTACCCCCTCATCTCTTATGGCGGAGTTATTCCAAACCAGATACATTTCATCTTGTCGGTTCCCCATCCCTGAGTCTTTGCCCAAAGACTGCATGTACTTGGGGGCGGAGAGCCTGCCGTTTTGCAGAATGCTCCTGTTAACCCACAGGATGAGGTAAAGCCCTCTATGAATGGGTGGGAGGCTCCCCCCCAGGTCTGCCCTTTCCCTCTGGTGCAGCTGTTGGCACTGATGTTGCTCCATAGCGTTGCTGAGCTGCTGCCTGGCTGCTGCCGACACATCTTGGAGGTACACCACTGTGGTGCCTCCCTGTGCATCCCCCCCCCCCAAGATTATGCTGCCAGTCCTTTAGGTGTGACAGCACAGATCTTAGAGGGCAGACCTTTTGCCATGCCTTGGCCAGAGCCATTTGCATCTGTGAACATGGAAGCGTTCTGTGAGTCACTGCCCTGACCCCTTTCCTCTTTGCCAGCTATGAAGTTGCAGCCAGGTTCCATCTCGCAGACAGTGTGGTCACAGTAGATCGAGAAGGGTTGCGCTGTTAGTCTGTAGCAGGAGAACAGAGCAAGAGTCCAGCAGCGCCTCAAAGACTTAACAAAATACATGGCGCAGGGGAGGAGCTTTCCTGAGTCACAGTTCACCTCTTCAGATAGGTGAGACTTCAGAGACTCACGGAAGTTCATACCCTGCCACACATTTTGTTAGTCTTTAAGGTGCTACTGGACCCTTGGGGTGGGTGGGTGGCGAAATCTACGGGGATATCTTTCAGCTTCCTGAAATCTCTGTTTCTTTGGACGGGACAGCCGAGATCTCCTGTAACCACACCGTCTCTGGATACAATGGGCTCTTCTGGTACAAGCACAGCCCCGACACAGCCCTTCGCTCCATCATCTTTACTTACCTTGAGGCAGTGAAAGAGGGACGGTTGACGATGGAGGTGGACAAGCCCAACCTGGCTACGAAGCTCTCCATCAGCCAGGTGGAGATAGAGGACTCTGCTGTCTACTATTGTGCTGTGAGTGACACAGTGGTGGGGAAGGCAAGGGGGCCAGAGCAGAAACCAACAGGGGGAGTGGCTTAAGTCCTCTGAGCTGTAGGTTCGTTTTCTGCTGGAGATGCATTCCAGGGGCATGCTCAACGACACTTCCACATCTCCAGATAGTTTCCCTGTAGTTGATACCTGTGTTGGACATCTGGTGACGTTTGAAATACAATATCAATATCGTATCCCTGATTGCAATATTCAACAGAGCAGACCAACACGGCCATGCACTTGAATCTATCTTCATGCAATATTCAAGAGTTAGCTTTCAGTGTTCTGGAACAAAATTTGAGTTCAGTGGTGCCTTTCAGACCCACAAAGTTTTACTCAAGGTCAGTGTTCCCTCTAAGCTGAGTCGGTGTGAGCTAGCTCACAGTTTTTTAGCCTCCAACTCACACATTTTTGTCTAAGCTCAGGGAAGGAAGGCTCCAGAGCAAACGAATTTATGCAGCAGCC